GGGGCAGAGACATGGCGAGAGGTTAACTGCATGTCACCCCTCCACTTGCAGCTCCACCACACCCCCAACTAAAGGCCCCTGTGCCAGGACCGGAGGTGAGGGACAGGAGCAGAGCTTACCATGTTCCTGGGATTTGACATGAGGAAGTGCTGGGCTACATGGGCTGGCAAGAGGTTAAAGAGGATCCTCTTGTTGTCCAATTTGACCTTCTCCATGTCATCACGTTCTTCTTCTGCCTGACAAGGACCCCGGGACCCTTGATTACTCCTCAGAGGACCGTTAACAGCACATCCTCATCCCACTTCATTGAGATCCACCGAACTCAGCTCCAAGTGCACAAGAGCCTGGGCCAGGCCGTTCCCTACCCCTCCACCAGAGAGGATACTGAGAGCAGGTTATAAAGAGCCAAAGGACCCACAGATTCCTAACCATCACTCCCACTAGCAGAAGTCTGAAAGCACCGACCAAGGCATTAATACCATCCCCACCGCTTGTCCCTACACCGTCCTTCTGGAGTTAGGATGGCCCAGTAGCCCTTTCTGTGATCCAGTCTCTGCTGCCTGAGCCAGGCCAGGCCTCAGGGCAGCTAGAGCTACCTTCTGACATTTCTGGAATGCTGGTATCCAGGTGGCCTGGACACACCACTAGGTTCATCGTTATCTTCAGAATGACCCTCCTCCACCAGGAGCTCACTGCTCTCTGAGACAAAGAGATGAGCAGAAAGGCGCAAGGTGCTTGCAGTGGGCAGGTGCGAGACTGAAGGTCAGCAGAAGGGGTTAATGCAGCAGCCAAGCCTAGGGCAGCAGTGCAGGGGCAAAAATAGAGGCTCTGGGTCCAGCACAGAGGCATGGTAACTAGCTCTGCAGCCTTACAGAGATAAACCCAGCAGGGATGGCCCCAACCTTGGCAAGTACCCTGAGGGCTCAAGAGGCTGTGAACAAGTAGCTGGCTTGGTGCAAGCAATGAAGAGGCAAGAACTTCTGTGATCACTGTGTGTGAAGCACTTCTGCTTTTCCACCGGACACAGACCTGACCCAGACCAGAGGGCTGGGGAGGACTGACACTGTGCTGAGTCCCGGGGTGGATCTTG